GTGTTGAAATAATGCAAATTTAATGATTTATTATATTTTTTAATTATAAATCTTTACCATTTATTTATTAAATGTTCTTTAGTCAGTGTAATAGTGTTTATTTAATATTTATTCAATTTTATGTTTATGTAATTTAATATTTATTCAATAGATATATATGGCTTTGCATAAGTAAATAAATTTTTTATACGCTAAATGTAGGTTTTTACAGGTGAAAGAATTATTAAAATCCGTTGAGTCGTTTTTTTTTTGCAACTTAGAATGGTAAACAAGCTGACAGCCGACCTGGAAGAAAATGTAACCGTCACCTACGGACATGAACAGTTTAAATCGAAACACAGCCATGCAAACACAACTGTTTCATGGTAGAAACACGAATGGGACAAAGTTGGGTACCTCTTTTGCAGGCAACTTTTGTACAAAATCTTCCTCTGGAGTTTTTGAATTTATCTATCATAAACACACAATCAAATTTATTAATTAGTATAGATTAATAAATCGCTGGGCATTTCTAAATTATGCCATACAATTATTTTGGGTAATGTATATACAATCGTTTATATATAGAACCTAAAATATTTTAGTATAGAACGATGTGCCTTAAAGGTATAATGGACTGTGGAAGTGTTTTATAATTCTTAATTAAAAATGGACTTTATTGTATTAGCAGTAAAAACCATTTACAAGTTGTTTTATTACTTTTATTATTAAAGGTAATTTAACGAATAAATTACTTAATGAACCATTTATTATAATAGCAACTCAGCTATACTTCCCAAAGATATTTATTGAATAAATGTTTTTTTTCTAGTGATGAAAAGTATCATTGTCTGAATTTTGCAATCAAGTTTTTTAGTTGAAGTTATTTGCAACTTCATCCATATATTTGGATTATATTAACTCATCAGGATATTCTATTTCATTCTCCATCCTATATATTATATGTATACTAAATACATGTGGTCCCGGCATAGAATAGGCCACCCCTTCCTTTCCCGTGGGTACGTGTCGTAAGAGGCGATTTGCAAAGGATGGGCAGCAGCATCCCTCTTAAAACATCTTCAAAGCCTAACTGCGATTGCCGGGGGGAAAGAGTTTGTTAGTAATGGAGACTGAGAATCCCATTGTTAGCAATATACCCAACCAGGTCGACCTCCTCGCGGTTCCCCCTGGAAACTATCATGGTTAATTCCTGATGAATTCATCATGATGGGCTAATTGGCCTGTTATCATTCTCATCTATCACCCTTCACTGGTGCTCCGCCACCATATCCCGTTAGCGCAGGCGGCGTTACCATACCGTTTTCACCCATCAAAAAAAAACTGCGATTGCCAATCCATCTGCTAAGCGTGATAACTGCTGGCAAAACCTCCCAATGGGAGGCTTATGTTCAGCATTGGACGGTTAAGGGCTGATATGATAATATTATGTATTTGATTTTTTTCTGTATTTTATAAGTAACTATTTTTGTTTTTCTTTTTTTTTATTTTATTCGTGGAAAGTTTCAAGCGTAATTTTTATATGAAAAGGTGAATCTTGAATTTTTGTGCAACACATCCATGCAAAATAATTTTATTGACATAATACTTTCAATTGACGGAAACTAGTTCGAGTGAACTTCGATTGCGCACTACTATGTATGTCAGTAGTACAAAAAGAACTAGAAACATAAATTTTGGACCCAGTTCAGTTTCACGACAGTTTCAAATGACTTTTAGCCATTGAGAAACTTTCAAAACTCAGTCGTGTTCTTAAGAAATCGGTATACAGCAGCAATTTAGTAAGAGGAATGACTCTTGTCAGGCATTGCTTAGGGAAATATGAAGATTGATGGGCTGAGCTATAGTTTTGCTATTGATTAAATTATGAAAGCATAGGTTATATGGATACCGATCCGATATCTGTATATTGGGTTTCTTTAAAGCATTGATGGCGGAAAAAAGTTCATTACTCATTTCAATATCACCTATATTGATCAGATATCTATTTTCTAGTATGTTAAAAGTTTGTTATCTAATATTTTATTCGACCAGTACAGAGATATTGTAAAACTAAAATAAACTAAAACATATGGATATTGTTGTATAATATCCATTCCTAAAATTTAACTTAATATTGCAGCTAAGTATAAAATAATCCTTATTAATATTGCCTCATTGCTTATTTTAAAGTACAGGACCTATCTATTTAGGGAGCAGGTTAGGAATAACTATATAATTTACTATCTTAATTATTCTTATATCATATTAATATTACAAACTAGCTTACAGCTGCGACTTCATCTGCGCAACGGTAATGTTTACTGATCGGACTAAAAAGTAGTTTATAATAATAGTAATATACTTTATTATCCAGACTACAATGTGGTCCATTTTGTTAGTAACAAATTTCTTACAAACTATGTTAGTAAAAAAAAGAAAAACAAATTGATTTAATTAAGCAGTTCACCCAGATGTGATCCAGCCGACTAGATCAGCATCTGAATGAAATGCCCAATTATGAATTGCTTCTTTATCACTTACAGTACGTATATATTGCAGTCAGAATTCTTAACTAGTCAAGAGTACTATTGACTAGCAAAATCAGTCAAAGGTACTTTTGACCGTATGCTTTAGTTAATAATACTTTTGACTAAAATAATATGTAGTTAAAAGTATTTAATCTAACTTAACCCCAAATTTGCAGTCAAAGGTACTAATAACCAATAATTTTCTGTCAAAACCACTTTTAACCAACCTGTTCAGTCAATAGTACTTTTAACTGATTAAGAGTTTCGACTGCAACATATATACCAATTTTATAGTGATTGATTAAGCCAAGGTACTTTTACATTTATATTATGTTAAAACCATTATTATAATTAAAGACACATCTTTATTTTCTTAAATTATTAAGGAAATGAGGTTGCGTGTTTCTTTGTTACTTTCAGTGTCTTAACTGCTTAACTAATATTTATGTAATTTGGTATACACATAGTATTTGAAATAGAAACAGAGTACTTTTCTCGATCAGTCATTATATATTCCACCGGCCGCGCGAATGAAGTCGCAGTAAATACTAATAATTATATAAATTACTAGCTTTTATCCACGACTTCGTTCGCGTGATTGATATATGTCTACTGACATGGAATAAAAAGTAGCCTATACCCTCTCCATCACATATAGTACGTGTGTACTAATTTTGATAGTGATTGGGTAAACCGTTAAGACGCTGTGAGATAAAAAACAAAGTCACTTTAACGTTTATAATATTAATAAGTATTATGAATATTAGATAACAATAAATCTCCTACACGTTTGATAATACGTTTAGTACTAATAAAGTATTTTAATAAAAGAAATTTAAATATCTTTTTCATACTTATTAGTTCATCTTTTTTTTCTTTAAACGTCATAAATAAATGATGTATTAATTAAATAAATTGTAATATTTCCTAATAGTTTCTTTTTTGTGTCAAAATAACCAGACCATTATAAAGTTAATGAATGAATAAACGATTACCTGCTGAAAATCATTATTATTTTGTCATTTACTAACCAAATAGTGATTATTCATAATACATAAAACACACGAACAATATTATAGTGGTTGAATGAAAAAGTAATTGAGTTCGCAAAAATGAATAGTAATAAATAAGTAAAATGGAACATACCGGTGCATTTTTCTCCCTCTCGAATTTTATTATAAACACATTTACAATTTGGCTTTGTTCCAGTATCGCGACATTTTTCTTTTATTGATAAAACTTCAGTACTAAGTCGTATTTCTAAGGAATCGTACACAGCAGCTATTTAGTAAGACGGATTGCTGTTGTCAGACATTAGTGTGAAAATATGAAGATTGATGGTTGTATGGTTTATCTATTGACCCGTGAATCGCGATGCTGCACTGTCGTTTGTCGTATGAAACGTTTTTGTATTACAACCATGTAATTTGTTCCTACATAGATTTAGAATAAATGATAATAATAGATTGAAATAAATTTTAAAGATATTTGTGGGTTGTCCTGGCCATGTTGGATTCTAATATGCTAAGTAAAATAAGATCATGTCAAGTCTGTTTATGTAATATATGTATGTAATATATATGACTTGCTTTTGGTGATAACATACTCAATATAAATTCACCCGCCTGTCACAAATTTTTTTTACAACATAGTGGGCAAACGAGCATGCGGCTCACCAGATGGTAAGTGACTACCGCCGCCCATGATCACCCACAACACCAGCGGCATTGCAGGTGTGCTGCCGGCCTTTTAAATTACGTAACAATAAAAAAAAATTTAGATGTTACTTTCAACCGACTTTAAAAATAATGAGAAAACCTCATTTTTTATAGAAAATAGTTCGGTTGTTTTTTTATGTTTGTTACCTTATAATTCCGTCAATTCTAAACCGATTTAAAAAGTAATTTTTTATCTGAAAGGATTACTTACAGAACTTACAGATTTCTTCCATAGAAATTATATCAAAATTGGTTTAGTAGTTTAATTTTTAGATCATAATATTTTGTTTTGTTTTAATTGAAGTCAGTTGTAGGACACAAAATACATCACAGATTTCGAGTTTGAATTTGGTAAATATATTTTGTTTATTATTAAACCTCAACTGTGAATAAATTTAGTATTAAATTATCCCATTCACGACCGTCTTTATTCTTTTTTAATTATTTTGACCTTGACTGAGCGTCAAGGATGTTCAATAGGGATGGAATAGCAAATTATCCGGCAGTGATTATTTACAGAGGACTTATAAAAGCGCCAACATCACTTTATTTTTATAATACATCGGCGGAGCGCAAATGAAATATTATTTCTCTTGGATCGTTTTCCGTTATTGTTTCTGCAAATAATTAATTCAACATCCGTCATAGACTTAATTTAAACAAACCCTGTCCCGACACGAAGTTTGTGTAAACTGCGTAATTAACAAAGGAGCAACAAGAAGAAGAAAAAAAATATTAACAAATTTTCAATTTGACTTTTCCGTTGTTCCAGCCCGACGGGGGAGTTTAAGATGAATAAACAACGATTCCAGTGGAAATGTAATCTTGGAGATTTTGTGAAGTGTTTGGAATATTTTATTTTGTGACTGGTTTCTCGGGAAGGAAAATGGAGTGTTCGCGGGCCAGTCCAACGCGGGTGCTTTCTCTTTGGACACTTTTGCTCGGCAGCATTAATATTGCAGGTCAGTACCGTTTCATTTCTCATTCCACATAATGTTGAGAGTGATAAATTGTCTTCATTACAATAAAAGCTTTTATTGTAAGAACATAATATGATAATGGTATCGTTGATGTTTTTTTTCTTAGTATGGTACAAATAATTTAACTAGTTGTCCCGTCCTCGCTCATTGATACAGGCAACGGGGTTAGAGATTTGGTGGAGTTTGGAATTCATATGCAAGGCTTGCTTTTCAAATTTTCATAAATAAATAATAACCTATTTACATATAAAATGTTATAATTACGGAGTGTATTATGATATAACATGTTAGTACTAAATAAACCTATTTCTGCTTCAGTGTCTCTATTATTACATTACAAAGACTGTCTTAATTTTCTATATTAGTTTCGAAATTAATAGTATCACAGAAATATTTTAGAAGACATACAAAATTATAATTATTAAGCCTAATTAGACTAGACAGTAATATATCACTAAACTATAAATTCAATTTTCATACACTGGAGTAGGTACATAATTATTAATATTTGACATATAACTATCGACAAAATAATAGACTTTGTGACTAACTTGACGACTACATAGAAGACTAGCGATTCAATGCGGCTTTGCACAGGTAAATGCATTAGTAGGTTCATCAACTTAAAGATTAACTCTCTAAGCTTGTGTTAGTACATAGTCTATCATTTATACAAAAGTAAGCAAGTGCACAGTAAACAGCGAGCATGTATGAATAGATTGATAAATGTGGAAGAAGCAAAAAAGGTGTGTTTGAAGCGGAGCATTTGGCGTTTCATTGTTTCTGACTACCCCAATGAGAGACAGGCGTGATGGATATGTACATATATAAACAATTGTATGAAAACAAAATTACAATGTGTTATCATATATATATACATGAATATATACACTAAGAAATCGGATAAACTATTTACTTCAATAGCTATGTCTTTAAAATACACATTATGATTTTTGTTTCGAAATCTGAGTTTGACGCAAATGGCAGAACAAGGAATATTTGAAAAGTTTTTATTACAATATGCCGGTGAGCGCACATTATAAATAACGACTCTGGAATAGGTTCTCGAACATTCTCTGTAAACATTCAATATCAATGGCGGAATTTATAGAACTCCTCTCTTCTTTAAAATTCACAAACACACACACGCGCATGCACAAACGCATACATACACACACATACACATGCGCACGCGCGCACACACACACATACATACACACTAACACGCGCGAGCACGCATACGCACACGCACATTGTTGGCTGCGAAGCTTCGTAATATATTTGCCTGTTGCAAATCTTAACAATAAGCTTCGCTGTGCTTTCGCAAAGAAAAACAGTAGCTTTAATCGTCAAAAATTTCATATAAAACATATGGGAGTAAACCTTATTGATTGCAAAAGGAAGTGTGAAAATCGACTCAGAATTAGTGACAAAATTATATGGCAGTCACAAAAAGGAAAAAAACTAATTAAGAACTTCTTTATTTTGGATATCTTTTAAAAATAAACATATGAATGTGACAAACTAAAAAAACTAGGTAGTATCCTTAAACTATGAAAACAAAAACTCTACTATGAGATATATTTTGATAACTGTGAAACCTATAAACTAGCCGTAAACAATTTGTAAATTTAAAAGTTCTTAAGAAGTTGTTAGACAAAGAAAAACAATCGTACAGGTCAACGTTTGTCGGATAAAATTCTTTAAAGTATACGAGTAGGTGAATAATTTATAGCAATATCTGTATTTTTTTAAGTTTTCAATACCTATATACGAATGAACTTACAAAAAAAAACAGTGAGTTCTTACAGTGTTTTAATTTCCCGTATTTATATAGATATAGAATAAAAAAAAATGAACATAAGCTTTAGGGGGGAAAGGAATTGTTAATAATGGAGACTGAGAATCCTATTGCTAGCAATATACCCAACCAGGTCGACCTCCTCGCGGTTCCCCCTGGAAACATGGTTAATTCCTGATGAATTCATCATTATGGGCTAACTGGCCTGTTTTCTTTGTCATCTATCACCCTTCACTGGTCCTCCGCCAGCGTATCCCGTTAGCGCAGGCGGGGTTACCATACTATTTTCACCCATCAAAAAAAAAAAAATACATTTATCCATAAATTATAAGTATTGATAAATTATTCCGAAGTTGACGCAGAAAGTATCTTACTGAACCGTAAAATTACTTCAAATTGGACCACGATATAGAAAATGGTGTGGGACAGGAAAATCCCTTAGAACAATAAATCTTATCTCGTGATTTGGGAATCCTGCAAACCTACACCTACCACTGCCGGTAAAATAATTGTTTATTAATATGAACAATACCCAGAGGTATAATTTTAATTTAATATATAAACTAGATCATATGAAATTAGATGTAGCCTTACGTATCAATATATATAATAAAAATGACAAATATTAGCTGATATGTAATTTTTTTAAACAAACAGTAATTTGAACGGTATATCTACATATATTATTATTTATATTAGTATTATAAACAGGAAGGATTTTATCGTATGTTTACATATTAGACTTGTATACTATATAATTGATTAAAAAAATTCACATATAATAAGTTACACTATGGGTGTGTAACATTCTATTTATGCATGCGAAGTAAGGTCGGATGACTAGTATAATAATAATAAAGTTAAAAATACTAAGTTACTAACAAAACTTATCTTTATTATTTGACATTGAAAAAAATATTTAATTGACAATAAATATTGTTAATATTTCAAACAATACTTTCAATGCGAAAAGGAAATCTTATGAATTTGAAATATTTAAATACGATGGGTGTTCCAAATTTGAATATCAAACAGAATACTAAATAGGTACTGAGTAGTTGCTAATTGAAATTAAATTAAGGTTTTAATCTACTTAGTCACTAGATGAGCCAGATATTTCGTCCGTATATACTAATAATACGTAATACTCATAATTCTGTTGGCGGTCTACAAGTACATACTAAAATAACAGTTATGAAGGGTCCACGTGACCCCCCTGGGAACCATCGTGCTGAATTCTAGGTGTATTCATCATGGAGGGCTAACTGACCTGCCTTTTCATTCTCACCTATTACTACCGCTACTATTAGCGCATTTATTATCATTTATTAAAAAAAAAAGAATTATGAAAAATAGTAAAAGTAGGTATATATTTTTATTTATGTAAGTAATTATAATTGTTGTATCGCATTAACCTTCTAATTTTTTTAGAAGCGACCTTTTAAACAACTAACAAAGTAATAATATACGTTTACATGTATGATTAAAAATAATAACTATAGCTTATAATCCATATGAGATACGTCTATAGACATGAAAATACTATGTATTTGCTAGAATATACTATAACAGCAATGGTACCATTCATACGTTGCCATTACTGAGTACTAAGATGTTATACATGCGTACACGGTAATTAAAAACCCCTTAAAAGTATTTGTACTACGGAATTGTAATAGAGATCTAGTAAGAGAAAGTAAAATACTGATAATAATGTATTATACCATAATATCTATTTATTTTACTATTGAAATAGATTAACAAAATTTTTTATACTTAATTTTGTATTAATATAATACCACACCAGATGAAGACTTTGTACAAAAGTCGATTGCTTGGGTACCTCTGTCCCATTCGTGTTTCAATTGTGAAGCAGTTGTGTTTGCATGGCTGTGTTTCGGTTTGAAAGGTGGAATATGGTGTGAATTTACTGAGTACAGAGGAATAACACCTGAGTCCTCAGGAATGGCAACGCATGGGGGGTATCATGGGCCAAACAGTATATTCTGTTATGTCCATGGTACTGCTCATGTCTATAGGCGACGGTTGCCACTTTCCATCAAGTGGGCTATCAGCTTGTTTGCCATTCTAAGTTGCATAAAAAATCTATATTATCACTAAATGTGTGTAAAATAAATTTAATTAAATATTGATATGTTACTAAAAATTAATAGTGTATTAACTGAAGTACAACATGGTTGTTTCTAAAGATTCAATTAATTTTATATAATGAACGCTATGCTACTTTTTCAAAGTCACAGCTTCAATACACATTCTTAGATCTATCGAAGCGCGCGTATTTACTCGCATTAATTTTAATTACTTACGCACACATTTATATACGTTACTTATTTCTGTAGTTGTGACAATCATGAATGTGTGTCTGAGGTGTGGTCATGCATACATTGCATGGTAGATATCAGATATATCGGGTAGCATCTAATATGCGGGCGAAACAAAAGCATAGATGAAGTACCTGGTGAAATTATATATACTGTGTCAATTTTTGGTTCCAAAATAAGATTCAATATTATCTAACAGACTCAGACTCAATTTGGATACGAAATTCATATCATATAAATCTACAAAAGTATAGATAATAAACATAAAAAAATACAGATCGAATTTTCATACGAGTCTATTGCGAAAATTGTAAGTAAATAGATTTTATAACTACAAGTTTTGAAATAAATTGAGGTACTTTTTCGTTCTTTATCTATGGTTCTCTACCCAAAACTCTATGACCATCAATACATTTGCTCCATCTAAAAATAAAACTTTTGAATTAGAAAACTTAGACGATATACTATATACAAAGGGAGGTATTATATTACGAACCTTTCCGAATTCGTACTTAAATTTTATGTAATACAGAAAGGTCGGACAGCAGGTGTACCCTCTCGGTTTATACGGATTCTGACGGTGTCATGTTTGTGAAGCTGTACTATCTAACCTATTAAAAGGTCAGTTTAGTTGGAATTTCTATCTGTACTTGTACTGTATAATTCGTAGGTACTCGTATACTAAGTCGTGTACTCGTATACGTATACTAAGTCGAAATTCAATGATATTTATAAAACTGAACTCTCCAAAGAGCGTGAACAAAATATTTTTATTATATATACAAAGGAGAGGGTCTATTGCTAGCAATGGGGCTATTAGACCTCATAACTAACAATCC